AGTTGTATTGTCGTTCAACTGATTTACCTTGTATTCTCTACTGTCGTATAACCGTTATATTGTAGTATTCTGTATTGTCGTTCAACTGATTTACCTTGTATTCTCTACTGTCGTATAACCGTTATATTGTAGTATTCTGTATTGTCGTTTAGCTGATATACCTTGTATTCTCTACTGTCGTATAGTTGATATAGTGTAATATTCTGTATTGTCGTTCACCTAATGTACCTTGTATTCTTTGATGTCGTATAGCTGTTATATTGTAGTATTCTGTATTGTCGTTCAACTGATTTACCTTGTATTCTCTACTGTCGTATAACCGTTATATTGTAGTATTCTGTATTGTCGTTCAACTGATAAACCCTGTATTCTCTACTGTCGTATAGTTGATATATTATAGTATTCTGTATTGTCGTTCACCTGATGTACTTTGTATTCTCTACTGTCGTATAACCGTTATATTGTTGTATTCTGTATTGTCGTTCAACTGATGTACCTTGTATTCTTTGCTGTCGTATAGCCGTTATATTGTAGTATTCTGTATTGTCGTTCAACTGATATACCTTGTATTCTCTACTGTCGTATAGTTGATATATTGTAGTATTCTGTATTGTCGTTCAACTGATAAACCCTGTATTCTCTACTGTCGTATAGTTGATATATTATAGTATTCTGTATTGTCGTTCACCTGATGTACCTTGTATTCTCTACTGTCGTATAACCGTTATATTGTAGTATTCTGTATTGTCGTTCAACTGACGTACCTTGTATTCTTTGCTGTCGTATAGCCGTTATATTGTAGTAATCTGTATTGTCGTTTAGCTGATATACCTTGTATTCTCTACTGTCGTATAGTTGATATATTGTAGTCAAATCACGAAATAGGTCGAAACAGGCGGATACAAACACCTTTGGGTTGAGAACTCTAGAAAGTTGCGTTCTTTCGTATCTCGCCTTGTCTACATAGCATGGTGACAGAAACCTGTTTGGACGACAGGGGTTGCCATTGTGTTTAACGGTCACGAAAGCAACATATATATATATCTTTCATTGGCATTATCTGTTAATAATGAACTGCTGTTATTTCTTTGTAAGTTGGAGTATCACTTTGTCACTAGTGAGACCTGTTGTGTTAAAACTTTGTCACTGGTTACCTCTCTGTAAACTGGTGTTATATTTTGGTTGTTGATGTTATATTTTCGTCAATGATATTACTTCTTTGTAAACTGGTGTTATCACTGTCGCTGATGTAAAATTTTTATGATTACTGTTAGCGATTCGCCATTGTTACTATGTTTTGTTGTAAAATGGCGTTAATTCTTTGTTACTGGTGCTACATCTGTATTATTGTTGTTAAATCTTTGTTACTGGGGTTACATCGGTGTCATTGTTGGTAAATCTTTGTTACTGGTGCTACATCTGTATGATTGTTGTTAATTCTTTGTTACTGATGCTACATCTGTATCATTGTTGTTAATTCTTTGTTACTAGTGCTACATCGTTATCATTGTTGTTAATTCTATTGTATTGGCGTTACATCTGTATCGTTGTTGTTAAATCTATGTTACTAGTGCTACATCGTTATCATTGTTGTTAATTCTTTGTTACTGGTGCTACATCTGTATCGTTGTTGTTAATTCTTTGTTACTGGTGCTACATAGTTATCATTTTTGTTAATTCTTTTTTACTGGCGCTACATCTGTCTCGTTGTTGTTACTGGTGCTACATCTGTATCATTGTTGTTAATTCTTTGTTACTGGCGCTACATCTGTATCGTTGTTGTTGCTGGTGATACACATGTATCATTGTTGTTAATTCTTTGTTACTGGTGCTACATCTGTATCGTTGTTGTTAATTCTTTGTTACTGGTGCTACATCGTTATCATTTTTGTTAAATCTTTGTTGCTAGTGCTACATCGTTATCATTGTTGTTAATTATTTGTCACTGGTAGTGGTTATATATATCCTTATCATTTTTGTTAATAGTTTTTTACTGGTACTGGTTATATGTCCTTATCATGGTTGTTAATAGTTTTTTACTGGTACTGGTTATATGTCCTTATCATGGTTGTTAATAGTTTTTTACTGGTACTGGTTATATGTCCTTATCATGGTTGTTAATAGTTTTTTACTGGTACTGGTTATATGTCCTTATCATGGTTGTTAATAGTTTTTTACTGGTACTGGTTATATGTCCTTATCATGGTTGTTAATTGTTTGTTACTGGTTATATATCCTTATCACCTGTGTGATATTTCTATTAACTGACGCTGTCGTTTCGTCTACAATACGTAAACAGAGATAGGGAAAAGCAGTTAGAAGCTAGACAGACGGATACAGATAATTAGTAGCCAAATAAACAGACAAGACCAATAAATTTCCAGGTAGACCGTAATATTCTTTATTCTAATCCTTTCAGTAAGATTCCATTGTAAGGATGAGAATATTGATTGGCAGATCAGTTGTATCGTTGAGTGAATTGATCTGTAATGGTAAGTATGTAAAGTGTAGGTAAAAGAATAAGACAGTAGATTTAACTACGATGATATAAAGATTAAAGAGAAGGGTAGTCAGATAAAAGGGAAAGTTGAGTCTTCATTTAGAATCGGTAAAACAGGTTTTAGTGGCCAGATTGGCATCAGGTTCTAGGTGTTATGTGTTAAGGCTCCAGTCACCTAGGTCATTCAACTAGAAAAGTGAACGACATCTAAACTTGAGTACTGGTCCTGTGTCTGAGCAAGACCCTGATATGTATATCAATCTTTACCAACTTTAAAATCAAGTACTTAGCACAAACAAGTAAACATGTGTCGTCACAATATTCCAGCTGAATACTAAACATTATCGTTATGTCAGCACAAACAAGTAAATATGTCGTCACAATATTCCAGTTGAATACTAAACATTATCGTTATGTCAGCACAAACAAGTAAATATGTCGTCACAATATTCCAGCCAAGCGTAATAAAAACATGCTCTTTTTAACTTTAAATATGTATTTATTTTTTACATATATCCAACGAAATGCACGAGAATCTAATGTTCCGCGTCCTTCGTGACTGAGAAAACAAGTTTTGCTTTAGGATTTTACTCAGTTCTTCACGTGACATTCTTTAGCCCCCCAAATCCCCTTTTTTTCTGTTGGTGAAGTAGGGGATGTAATTTCAAAACGGGAAAAATGTCAAGGTCCTTCACCTTTACCAAAGAGTCGCGTGTCAATTGTGGGACGCAAATTCTTAGCAGGAAAGTGAAATATATATTTAAATAACAACAACAAACTATAATAGAATATGTTTTCTCTTCAAAGGGTTTGTTACCAGAAAACTTTAATGATACGCAAGTAAAGTTTTAAAATCTATAAATCCGTGGGTTTGATGAAAATATAGTTTAGCATGTCATGTCAGTAGAAGAATTTATTGTTTGTTTCAGGACTATCTGCACATAGCCAACCATAGTGAAATAACAGACTAAGGAAAAGGTAGCTAGTCATCAGCTCTTTCCGTCCACACATTGGGGAATCTTGTTTGATAGAATTTGATCGTCATCTTATTGCAGACCCACGACCAAATGCATTTTCGCGGCAACATATCCATTTAGCCGCATCCGGCCACAGAAGAATTAAAATTAGGAAGATGAATTTATTTTTGCTAGAAAAGTAAAACGAAACAAAAAACTTCGGTGTACTGACTATCATATGTTTTGGTCAATATACACGTTACGTAGGTCGAATTACGCCTGTTTCTTAATTTCCAGGTTATTAGTTTAAAAGTAAAGGTTTCTGACAATGCCGATGCAGAAGTAGGTACACTGTTTAACCCTAATTCGCAGCATTAAAGCGGTAAACTTGAAATTGCTGCTAAGCTCGAACTGGACACTTAAGTCTTAAACACAATCCAGAGAGCATCAATAGCAGGTTATTCGATAGTTTATCCATTCACCTTCGACCTTTGGAGTTCCTCTACCAAACTGAATCGAAAGTGGTTCAAAAACTTCAAACACACAAGCGGATTACATATAGAGAGAAATATCATGATGTAGTCCTTTTTGGTGTGTGGTGCTTGAAACGTAATGAAAGCAAGTAAAGTTGTGGTGTGTGGTGCATGAAACGTAAAGAAAGCAAGTAAAGTAGTGGTGTGGGGTGCTTGAAACGTAATGAAAGCAAATAAAGTAGTGGTGTGGGGTGCTTGAAACGTAATGAAAGCAAGTAAAGTAGTGGTGTGGGGTGCTTTAAACGTAATGAAAGGAAGTAAAGTAGCGGTGTGGGGGTGCATGAAACGTCAAGAAAGCAAGTAAAGCACCGGTGTGGGGTGCTTGAAACGTAATGAAAGCAAGTAAAATAGTGGTGTGGGGTGCTTGAAACGTAAAGAAAGCAAGTATAGTAGTGGTGTGTGGTGCTTGAAACGTAATGAAAGCAAGTAAAGTAGTGGAGTGGAGTGCTTGAACATCTGTACAACATCTGTCTATCACTTCTGTACAATATCTGTTTATCACCAAACATGATCGCCCTTTCAGTCGTGGGGGCGTTATAAAGTGACGGTCAATCCCACTATTTGTTGATAAAAGAGTACCCCAAGAGTTGGCGGTGTGTGGTGATCACTTCTAAACAACATCTGTCTATCATTTCTGTACAACATCTATCTGTCACTTACATCCAATATCTGTTTACTACATCTCTATAATGTCTATTTATCTCTACTGTAGAGTATTAGTCTAGTTAACTGCTCTCTTTATTTTACACGCTTACTTCAAGAATGAAGGTAAAATCTCTACACGTCTACTTGAAACCTAAATGTAAAATGTCTTTATTCTACACGGGTAATTTGAAACTAAGGGTAAACCCTGTTGATGTTTTCAACTTCTGTGTAAGACTTATCACTTTACAGGCTATTTAATAGGGTCGATATAATCTATTTTAATGAATGACTATGTCCAATTTCAACTCTATGACCATGTATTTTCCATACATATATTTCTGACTTGTATTTTCATTTTTTTTTCAGGTTATTGCTAATATATCTTAAAAGAAAAGCGGAAGTAGCAGTTACATCCACTATCGAGTAGACCCACCATTTCCGTGCAATTAAAAAGATCTTGGAGAGGAAAGCGACACCTAGTAGTTTCAGAATTACGATGGGTGAATCGTGTAGTGTAAAGTGGGGAAGTGAAGTTTACTATTTAAAGGAATTCACCCAAAAATTCAGCCTCCCCCAAGTAGCCAAGATCATTAGGGGGCAATATCTAAATCTCGGGGTGCCCACTCTCCCATCTCTCTCACCAAATAACACCGTATTTCTTGCGTCTGGTGAGAAAAGAATCAAGATAGCCGCCCAATGTGTGAAGTTTAAGGAAAACCGGCGTGTGATCCTGGTGGGGCCTAAGCTAGCCATTCCGGACAACTACGAGGGGTGGTTTGAAATCTTGTCAGAAGATGGTCGGCCAGTTAAATGTCTAGAAAGTGTGGCAGAAATGGCCAAGCGTTTTCCTTCTTGCTGTCTGGTTAGGGAAAACATTAAAGTGTTTCTATCGAAAAATGATGATCCTGAAAATGTCAGTGACAAAACACGGAGTCTTCAAGCAGGAGAAACGTTACATCTCGTGAACGAGGTACTAGCCGCTCCTATCAGGGGCAAGGCACCTGGACGCTTTTTACGATGCTTGACCAGCAAGAAAGAGACTGTCTATTTGAGTACTGATCAGCGGGGAAAGTTCAGTCCGGTGGCTGGTGAAGATAACATTTCTGGTGTTCATAGAATCAAAACCCTACTGAGTAAACGCTTACCATTAATGGTACGGTTGGTTCACGGGAAGCCCCCTATTGGTCTAAAGTCCAACTCCAGTTTTCTACCTGAAATGCGCCTTTACTCACCGTTCGAGGAGGAATGTATTATGACTCTCCCGCTCCTAAAGGATTCAGCCATAGTACCATTACCTCTGACAGCGCCATTGAAACTTCAAGCTCCTCGAAACGTCGAAACTCTCGTGAAGCTTCGTGATTACGCGAAACTTAACGAGAAGTGCAAAAAGATGATCGAAGACGTTTCAGACAGAATCCAAGTATTTGATATTTCCATGAGCAAAGAATTACGAAACAAGACGAAAAACAACTTTCACTATCTTAACGGAATTGAGAACCGAGTCCAGCCTACATATGGCAAACAAACTTCCCAAGTGAGACGTAGCTTGTCAGATCCCCAGGGACAGAGCAAGGGAAAGACGATCGTAACCTTAGAGAGAGGTCTCTCTGCACCAAGTGATGGTGAATCCAAGAAGGAGCAGAGCACTGACGATTATGATGAAATAGATCAGATTTACGATTATGTCCGCGGATTTATTCCACTCCCTGAAAAGGTCAAAACTAATTTCTCGGTCAGTGATGATCCATCGAACCTAGAAACACCACTCACTTCTAGGTCGCCTTCCTCCCCAGTCTCACCCATCCCAACTTCTCCCTTAGTCTCTTCCTCCAAAGAGACTTTAGCAGTTCAAGGAGACGAAGTTAAACCTGAACCCCCACCGATCGAAACGATTCCTGCCAGGAAAACATCCAGTAATCACACCATGAGTCAGAAAATAACTGTTAGCATAGTTAACAAAGCATGTTCGAATGACAAAAACGACGAGGAACTTTATTCTCCAACCGACCATATTTATGAGAAAGTTGGAAAAAGAAAAGATTCTAGAGACATGAAAACCTCTAGCAATGTAGGAAGAATTTATACTCCTGGCGGACATCAGAATTTTCAAAACAATAAGTTTCTTACCAAATGTTCCCCTCAACACAGACAACTACACAAGACCAGAATCTTCAAGCATTCCAAGAGTTTTCCCCCTAAAGTATCTGTTCCTTTCCAACGAACCCCTCGCAACAAAACCTGCCGTTCGAACAAATCAATCACAACCTCACCTATTTTCAATATTCGGTACAAATCTTTAACTAATCTCGCTCCCAAATTCAACGATACTCTCGAATCCAGCAACTCTGGTGGTAGGACTTCCTCCGGCTCTGGTGCTTTTAAAGAATCTACTGAGAATTCCAAAGAACAGAACAAGAAACTTCTTAGACCAAAGTCATTAACAAATCTTTCTTGGGAAGGAATAGAACAGTGCAACAAGTATAACCTCGTGCAAAACGAACTAAATAAGAAAGTTGGCTGTACCAAGTATCTACTTTTACCAGAACTTACACCACCTAAAGTAATCAATTCTGGGCCAAATAAACGCATCGGGACGCTTTACCTGTAAGAAGAGTATTGTTTAGATGTATACAAAGTGTGGCACGGACATAAAGGTAACCTTTAATGAACAAAAATTGTGCAAAAAAAGGTGAAAGGATAAATCCAAAGGGATGTTTTGGTAGTAAAATGTTACGGCCAGGAACTTCAATAAATAAAACACAAAAATATCCAAATATACGTGACTACTTCAATAAACATCTTTGAGAAATGAGAGCAACTCATCAGGTCAAGTTGTGAAGTAACAAAACCCGAGAAGCGCCAAGATTTCCTGCTCAAGATAAAGAATATAGTTTGAAACTAGTAACGTGCAGATGTGATAATCCTTCCATAGTCATATACACTGGTGTAAATACATTTAAATGAATACGTGTTGTCTTCTAAACTTATCGTGAATACTGGAGTAATTTTTTTGTTTTGTTTTTACACTTTAATTTGTTTAACGTACGATTTCACTTCCTTTGTTCAATTATTCTTGTTTCTCGACTTTTTGTTACTTCCGAAATTGTCAGTAAAACTGTTGAAAAAAAACAAACAATTTTGTGAATATTCTTAGTTAAAGCAACGTTAACAAAAATCTTTATATTACTAAATTAATCACAACAACCATCTGAAATAAGTCTACATTTAGATTATTGAATTCTGCCACTATAAAGTGGACACCGGTATAGAGTTATACCGCTAGGGGACACTTACAACATTAACGGATTACCTACAATATATTTAACCCTTACCTCTAGTCGGACGCAAGCATAAAGCTATGCTATCTTTTACCACTAGATGCTTATGTTACCACTAGAGGGGACTACCTAAAATACGTTTATCCTTTATCACTAGAGGATATCTTAATTATCCTTAACCCTCGCCAAAGAGTATTTACAGTGTGCTTCACTTAAAACTAGGAATACCTGTAATATATCCCTTACTAATAGGAGACCATCGATATAAAGTTTTACTTAACCATTACACTAGGGATATATCTGTCTATAGCTATGTTCATTGTAAACACTAGGAAAATAGATACAGACGTCTATATAATATATGCTATTCCTTAACCATTACAGAAATACCTAAAATATTCTTATCCCTCAGCAGTTGGGGATTCCTAAAATATGCATATCTCTTATCTTTAGGAGGGTGTTTCTGCAATGGTCTAATCCTGTGTCACTAGGAGCCCATCTACAATATGCATAGTTTTACCATTATTAGGATAGTTACAAAAACTTATGCTAACCCTTACTATTTGGAGGACATCTACAACATGTTTATCCCTTACTACCAAGGGGCTACCTACAATGTGTTTGTTTGATCCTTACCACTAAGGAGCTACCTACAATGTGTTTGTTTCTTACTACCAAGGGGCTACCTACAATGTGTTTGTTTGATCCTCACTACCAAGGGACTACCTACAATGTGTTTGTTTATTCCTTACCACTAAGGAGCTACCTACAATGTGTTTGTTTGTTCTCTACTACCAAGGGGCTACCTACAATGTGTTTGTTTGTTCTCTACTACCAAGGGGGCTACCTACAATGTGTTTGTTTGTTCCTTGGTACTTAGGGGCTACCAACAATGTGTTTGTTTGTTCCTTACCACCAAGGGGCTACCTACAATGTGTTTGTTTGTTCCTTACCACCAAGGGGCTACCTACAATGTGTTTGTTTGTTCCTTACCACTAACTAACTACCTACAATGTGTTTGTTTGTTCCTTACCACCAAGGGGCTACCTACAATGTGTTTGTTTGTTCCTT